TTGGATCATGACAGCATTTGTCCATGATCATGCCCTCAACTTATAGTTGAGTATTGTGGCGCTTTGGCTTGGCCCATTTTGATGCCAGGGTAGCTCATAACTTGCCCTGGGTCCATTCAGTCCTTCGTCGGGACCCTGCTTTTGGGGTGCTAGGAAATAAGGGCAACTGAGTCGAGAAAGCAGATGCCCAGGAGTAAATATTATTCGGAGTCAATCAACTCCCAAGTTACAAAGCATAATATTAACTGTCTTCCTGTGTCCATACAGAAAGGACATTGCTTACAATACAAGTTTAGTGTCCTGGGATGGGTATGACCCGATTAATCTAAGCTACATGATAGACAAAACAGTGTTGTCCTACAGTGAGTGAATATTTTCTTCTAGTTGATTGGATATCTTTTTATTCTTGTTGTTATTTTCTTTACAGTGTAGAGGTTTCTTAATGTAATGTAGTGTCATTTCTTAATTTTTACTTCTGTTTTCCTGGCCAATGCCATTAAGTCATTGAAGATCTCTCTAGAGTTCATATTGTACAGAATTCTGCCTATATTTTATTCTGTTGTAATTTATAGATTCAGGCCTAATGGCAAGATATTTAATCTATTTTGACTTAACTTCTGTGTATAGGTGTGATACTGATCTGTGTTTATTTTTATCTGTATTTTGCATATGACTAACAAGTTTTCCCAGCATCATAGGATGAAGAGGCTTTCCTTGCTTCACTTCATACACTTAGATCCTTTGTTGAATATTAGCTGTGGATGTGTCTCTGGCCTATAAACCTCATTAAGCTTAGAGCCTGCTCTTATTCCAATACTGCAGTTTTTGGATTATTTTAGCTTTACAGTATAATTTGAATTTTGGGAGAGAATAGTCTCCTGTTTTTCCCCCAGGGTTTCTTTGGCTATTTGGGGGATTCGGTCACTTCATGTAAATTTTAACAGCCTTTGGTCCATGTCCTTTTAAAAATGACATGGTATTTCTAATGGGGACTATAGTGAGTTTGTCTCATGCTTTGGTTTAGATGGTCATTTTAACAATGTTAATCCAGTTCATAAATAAGGTGTTTCTATTTTCTTGGATTTTATATTTTTTTATTGTGATTTATGGTTTTCTTCATAATAAGTCTTTCAATTTAACTTAGTTCTTATGTATGTGATTTTGGGTAGGAAAGAGTGAATGAGGGTTTTTTTTTTCATTTCTCTCCTATTTTATTGTTTTCATATAAAAATGAAATGGAGCGATAGCACAGCAGGTAGGGCATCTGCCTTGCACGCAGCCAACATGGCCGACCCGAGTTCGATTCCTCCGCCCCTCTCGGAGAGCCCGGCAAGCTACCGAGAGTACTCGATATGCCAAACACAGTAACAACAAAGTCTCCAATGGAGACGTTACTGGGCCCGCTCGAGCAAATCGATGATCAACGGGAGGGCCATATAAAAATGTGACAGACTTTATGTGTTACCTTTGTAGCCTATCACTTAATAGTGAAGATTAGTTGGTAAGTATAAAGTTGTTTAATTTGTGAGTATATGAGTTTCTCCCCACTTTCACTTTCAAAGCTTTTTGGTCTTAGAAGATAGTTGATAGGATTTTTGTCTTCTTGATTTTATACTTGATTTTATACTTGACTTGAGTAAGATTGTACTCTTGGTCATTTATACCTCACACTGGGTTATGGCTCAGCTCACTTTTCTGTCTTACCTGTTGGACCTTTTGAAGATTTATGTGTTAACAGTATTTGAAATTGTGATTAATAATAGGGTTTTAATTAAATGTCAGTTTCAATTTTATTATTTGCAATAGCAGCTTCATTGTTTCCTTAGGTTGGATTGGCATATCGTCAGGGTCACGATCCTCCCTGTTGTTCATCGGTTTGCTTGAGCGGGCCCAGTAACATCTCCATCATGAGACTTGTTGTTACTGTGTTTGGCAAATCGAATACATCACGGGTGGCTTGCCAGGCTCTGCCTTGTGGGCCAGATACTCTCGGTAGCTTGCTGGGAATCGAACTCGGGTCGGCCATGTTGGCCACTTGTAAGACAAAAGCCCTACCACGGTGCTATAGCTCCATATAGTGAGTGCTCAATAAACTTTGGAGGAACTGGGATTTGGCTCTTCTACATAAAAGGAGCTTTGCAGTCTATTTGAGGAAAGTGCAGCAAAGCAGGTCTTTAACCACACTAAAGTACTAAAGTACTTGCTAATGAAAAATGCTAATAGGAAGTCTTAAGAGCATTTGTAATGAAAAGGGTTTGGTATTGTTTTGCTAAGGTTCCTACAGATCCGGGCTGAGGTAACCCTGTGAATTTAACCAGGAGTCCAGCATAAAAAGGCCTCTCACAAATAGAGAAAGGCAAAGACCCTTGTAAAGTAGATTGGTTTGTTTAGAATGCAGAGGTATTGTTAATTCGCACTTAAAAATATTAAAATGTGTGTGTACTTTAGACATATATTATTGACTTTATTTAGCACTATAATTAACTACTGAGTGGTTGTGGTGGAGGGGGGGCAAATGTGCAAAATTTTTAAATAGTTTATTCTGACTGTCGAATAGAATAGAGCTGTAATCCCTTTTGCTTCAGTGTTTTTGATTCATTGATGTCAGAGTGACCAAGAAAATCAAAAGTCACTGCAGGGTGGGCTTGAAGTGCTGCTCTCAGAATGTAGGTATTCTTATTTTCTCTGCTGGTGTCTGTATCATTCTGACACTCTCATTAGATCATACAGTGCACATTGATCAGCTTCTGAAATAAATTATATTCTTTCTTCCTTTCCTTTCTGCCTTTCCCCTCTCCTTTCTTCCTTCTTCCCTCATTCCATTATTTCCTCCCTCTCTCACTCCATCACCCTCGCAGCTCTTTCTCTTTTATTTAATATTCTTCACTTTGTTCTGTTTAGGGTCAGGAATTTGGTGGAGCTTATCAAATTGGAACCGTAGCCAATGAAGGTCTTGAAAAACAAGGTTGTCATCCTTTTTATGAATCTCTCATCTCCAATCCCTTTGTCACAGAGGTAAGGACAAATTGCCAAAGATTTCAGTGCTATACTGTTATGGGCACGTTACTGTTAAAAAAGCTAAAGTTTTCTTTGAAATATACTTCTTTGGCCTTCTTACTGTGTAATTCATTGATCTTGTAAGTATTGTTTTATATGTGTTATAATATTTACATACATATTTCACATGTATCATCACATATGATAGAACATGGGATTAAAATCTGTATTTAATTTATTTAAAATATTGCTTAAAAGAATATGCTTTAGCAAGGAAGTTACAGTTCAAGTCACTAGAAGATATAAAGTAATATAATTTTGTCTGTGAATCATAGATATGTGAACAAATACTACACCATAATAAATTGGTATACCTGTTTCCTTTGTCTAGTCTGAAGTTACCTATGACACCTATCAACATGCCCCAGTAGAAAGCTTTGCAGAGGTGTTGCTGAGAACTGGAAAACTGGCAGAAACTAAAACTGAAGGAGAAGAAGTATTTCCAACAACCGAAGGTATAAAGGAAGTTCAGTTCCTTGAAAATCTATAGCTTATATTATGAGAAAAATTTATAATGTGGATTGAGAATTAGGGGAAAAAAAGCTTTTCCTTAATTTTAGACAGAATAACTCTATCATGCATTCATTTATGTATTTAAATTGTTGAATTCTCTTGGTTTTATAGCTACCTACAAGTATTGAGGATTTTTAAAAAGAAGAGTATAGCACAGTTCCTTTGTTTAAGTTGCTCTTATGTAAAGTGATTCTTCTAGTGAAAGCTGTATACTACCTGGTAAATACTTATTTCCTGCTTTCATGGGTTAAGGACTCTCAAATATTTATTTCACACATGCATGTAAATTTCATCTTAGGTTAGGGCAGATAGCTCGGGAGGTAGAGAAACAATAACATATGTGAGTATGTCTGGATTGATTGAACCCGGGCTTGGTGTGTAGCCTTAGAGGCCCCTAGCACCAGTGGTCTGAGGCTGAGCATAAACTCTCTGGCCACAGCAGGACTCAGCATCCCTGGTGGCCCCTATGAAAAATAATAATAAAAAAAACAAACCTAAGGATTTTCTGCATGGCTGCAGATCTCTTCATGTAAAATATCTTGAAAAAAGCAAAATGTATGGAGATTTCCTGAAGACAACTTGCCACTGTGCACTTTTCCTCTGACTGGTCTCCTCCCTTCTTTCTCTTTGTGCTCTGCCATCCTGATTGAGCACCTTAAGGTTTAAAGGCTCCTGGAGCTCCAGCTCTCTTGTCTGTATTCAAGACATTAGTAAGGAGGAAAGCCGGGAGAAGTGTCAAGGAGAAGAATGGTATTCAGTATTTCTCTAGCTTTCAAAACTAAGGTGGGCTGAAGAGCTTGTATGTTCTGTCACTCTAGTGATGATGATAGGACTTCTCTAATTAGCCTTTTCTTTTTGTTTGCTATTTTTAATTTTAGCTTACTTTAATAAAGTTGTTCACAGTGATTTATGACATTTAATGTATAACACCAATCCCACCACCGTTACGCCTTCCTACCACTATATTTCGAATGGTTCCACCCCTACCCAAAATAGCCTGCCCACAAAACAGGACCTAAATAATTTATTTTATATTGCTTGTTATGAATCATCCCCTAAAAATGGTCCAGAAAAGTTACCTTAGAGGAAAGTGTGTGAAGACTGTTGTATTTGACCCTGGAGCTATTAAACCATTGTATAAGAGATTACTGGGCTGGAGTGATAGCACAGTGGGTGGGGCATTTGCCTTGCATGGGGCTGACCTGGGTTCAATTCCTCCACCCCTCTTGGGGAGCCCAGCAAGCTATCGAGTGTATCCTGCTTGCATTGCAGAGCCTGGCAAACTCCCTGTGGCATATTGGATATGCCAAAAAAAGTAACAACAAGTCTCAGAATGGAGATAATATTACTGGTGCCCATTCCAGCAAATCAATGAACAACGGGAGGACAGTGCTACAGTGCATAGAGATTACTAACATGTTGTTAAAGGTTGAGCCTGTGTGCTTGTGTGTGTGTGTGTGTGTGTGTGTGTGTGTGTGTGTGCATCTGCCCCCACCCTCCCGCCCCAAGATTGGTTGCCTTCTGCTTATACCCCATCAAATGTGGTGTGCTACTCTTGGAGCATCAGTGGTATAGAGTATGAGATGTTGCTCTAGGAATTCTAAAATTTTAAATATGGTGATACAGCTGATGTTAATTTAATTTTTTTTTTAACTGGATAGTGATTTCAGAATCCACCTCTGGATCATGGTCATCAGTGAGCTTATGTGCCGCCAGAGGCAGTTTCTGGACATGACTGCCAGAATGCTACTGATAACAGGGAATTGGTGGATGTGGCCCATTTCTGACTTTGTGCAAGCCTGGAGATTTTGGTCACAAGTCCCACATACCCGGGTTTTTCAGCAGATTCATTCATGAATGAGGCTTGTCCAAGCCTGTGGAGATGGGACATGTCCATGAAGGCAATTGAGTTCTGGGGGGTTTCAGCTGCTGGGGATTCTGTTGCATTGGGAAGGGGAACTCACCCGACCCCTTCAGCTTTCCCCAATGAGATAGCTGGGTGTGGGATCCAGAGGCATCTTTGCAGGTGGTACTCTTGGGTTGCTCTCTTCCGAGAGATTCATCAGTCTCTCTCATGAGCCTTTTCTTAGACTGTTTACTGCCTGCATTAATTGCTATGTTCAGTTGTGATTTTATTTGATCTTCATGACTGATTCTGTAGTTCTCTATCCTGGTTACATGTTAAAATTACTTAGGACTTTTTTTTTTAAATGCTAAGATCTGCTGTGGAATCCGTGGTGGACACTTTAAAAACAAAAAAGCATATGCAGTGGAGGCCCATGTAGCAAATGTGTTTTAGAGTTCCTCATGTGACTCAGTTATAAAACTATGGGCAAGGCCCATTGGGTGGTTTTGTTATCTCTCTTCTTCAAACCCTAACACATGTGCTTTCAAAGCTTTTCACCTTACAGCCTAGTGAAAGTCTGAGATGTATTTTATGGTTGTGTTTGATCCCTTCAACTTGAGAGTCATGTGTGTGTCATATCTACTTCTAACACTTATACCCAGGCTCTGAGAGTTTTTAATCTGGCGGGCGCAAAAATCAATGACTTCAAAATGATGTGTGTCAGTTGGGTGTGCACAGCACTTTGGACAGGAATTGAGGATGCATTCTTGAGGATTGAATGCAAGCTCACAGGTTATGTAAGCAAGTTTTAAATCTAACAAGTGAGACCAGCAGTTTTGTGGGCATTTTCTTTCCATTACAGGTTCTTTTCGAATTAAAATTTTCTAGGGCCAAAGAGGTGGTACAATGGGTAAGTCACTTGCCTTCCACGTTTCCAACCTGGGTTCAAACCCTGGCACCCCGTATAGTCCCCTGAGCCTTTCTAGAAGTGACCCCGGACCACAGAGACATGAGTAAGTGCTCAGAACCCTGGAGGGTGGACCAAAAACAAAACCAAGCAAAAACAATAAGCTTTTCTGACATTAAGATTCTGATATTCCACCAAGGGGAAAAATAAACATTTTCCCCCATAACGTTATTGAATTGAATGGGAAACATTTTGTAATATTTCTTGTATATATTAAGAGTAGATAAAAAAAACCACAGATGTGTTTTTACTAATTATTACTTAATTTATATTTGGGTTTATAATTTATGAAGCATTTTTATATGCTATCATAGTTTACACTTTTGAAATGCTAGTATATCTGAAATAGTTACCTTTGGTTATTTTATTAAATATTTTCCATAAATTCAGAATTGAAAAGCGAAATAGGCCAAATTACTCAGATTGAAAATCCTGGTAAAAATTTGACTCTTGACTTTGGACTAGAAAATAGGTCATAATACAAATTAAGCTTCTTATCATGACTTGACATTCAACATTTTTTAATAAAGTTGATGAAAAGCTTTTTATAGAGACTAGCTAGAGAAAATTCATCATTATTTATTTAGCTAAATGGATGATTTAATGGCTAATGATTTCCAAATCAATAAATGGGCAGCTTTCCTCTATAAATTTAGTTCTACCATTAAATTTATCAGAGTACTTTCTGGAGGTACTTATTATGCACAGAATTAGGGGTTGAAGCCTTAGGCATGGATTTTATCTGATTTGTGCTGTGTAACTAGTTTAGGAAATGCATTGTATTAAAAGTTTGAGGCCCACCGTTGGTAGTTAAATTAATATAGACTGTATATGTAGAGAAGATCATTGAATACACAGTAATTTATGCTAGATAAAGACATAACTTAAATGGTAATGTCAGATCACAGACTCGGTCTCTAGCCAGTATATCTTGGACCCTAATTAAATACTGTGGGATTCATATTATCGTTTTTAATTTTGTCAAATATTGTTTCAGATGGCTTGTAGATTCAAAGTGAAAGCCTTCTCATGTGTAAAACTTAATTTCCTTTTTGCAAGATTTGTTGAAGCTCCATAAAAGTATTGAAAAAAATTGGTGCCGGGGGCGGGAGAGGTTGCCTGAATTTCTCCCAAGCTGTGGCCAGGGGCCCTCAGGCCTCTCCTGGTGATACTGGACTGCTGTGACTGCAGTTCAGACATAGGGCCTGAGGATGTGGTGCTGGGGACCGCCAGAACCTCACCCAGCAGTGCCTTAGGGCCAATATGGCGCTGTTCCAGAGATGATGTGATGCCAGGGATTGTACCCAAGTCCTCACAAGTGCCCTAACCACTGTGCTGTCTCCCAGCCCCTGCTCATCTTTCCATGCCCTAGGTAGAATTGGGACACATATTATTATCTCTTCCATCTGCACAATTTGTTGCCTTTTAAAAATTTGGTTGTATTCTAGAGGTGCTCTAGACTAAGTACTAGAATTGTGGATATGAGTATGGATGTGGGAAAAAATGATGTCATGAGATAATTTCAGGAATTATTGCCTTGGGGATGAAAGAAGAGATGTGATCTGTTCCTTTAAACTTGGGGCAGTCATCCATGTAGCCACAGGGTGGTCGTGAGCTTTGTGTGGTCAGAAGTTCAGCTCTTGATGTTATGGTGGAGAGAAAGAGATATGTATAATTTGTCCAGAAGTGTCTTTTGGGAAACCCTCCTTGGGAAGTAAGTGATTAACAAGTTGCTTGGTTATTTGACACAATTATTGAAGAACTTCTTTTTTTAAATTATATCACTGTGAGATAGTTGCAAAGCTTAAATGTTTGAGTTTCAGTCATTACAATGATCAAACACCCATCCATACACCAGTGCACATTCTCCACCACCAATGTCCCCAGTATACCTCTCCCCACTTTCCAACCCTCCCCCTGCTCCCATGGCAGATAATTTCCCCCATACTCTCTCTCTGGAGCAATAGCACAGCAGTAGGGCATTTGCCTTGCGCGCGGCCGGCCTGGCTGACCCGGGTTCGATTCCTCCACCCCTCTCAGGGAGCCGGGCAAGCTACCGAGACTATTCCGCCCATATGGCAAAGCCTAGCAAACAACCCGTGGAATATTCGAAATGCCAAATACAGTAA